ATTTTTATTGCATTTTAATCTAACATTATCAAAAATTAAAATGCAATAAAAATTAAAATTTTAATAAAAAATGCTTACAGCCCTATTTTCCTGGCAAACCTCCCATATAACCTTTTTGTTATAATGTTTTTTTTAGCACAAGCAAAAAGCACCCAACCTAATTGGTATAATAATTGATTTTTTTTCTCTTCTATTCAAGTTATAGAAGAATAAAGGATATGATTATATAGCATATTAAAATAATCACTTTTTCAGTTAAATTTTATGAATTTTTCATTAATATAATAATAAGCCTTACCACAAGGAATAATATCTAAATACTTTTACCTGTCAGGAGTACCATCATTCCTCACCACCTCTTAAACTTGTTTTGCCAAAGATATGGGTCTCTTCTTATAATTCCTGTAAGCTCGCTAGATAACTATTGCATAGAAATTTTCAAAACTATAATTATAGTATTTAGGAATCAAGAACCCCCATGATTGCAGGTGTTACAAAAAGGAATAAAGTCAGGTGGAGGTGATGATATGTCGTCACGTGAAAAGCTATTGAGTATAATTCAAAAAATTTACTATACTCATCTGTATGTATATTAGCATTCAAAAGAAGTGGTGTATACTTCATATTTTATATATATTAATACTCAACTGCCTTATTATAATTAAAGTTGAGTTGCGATATTATTTAATTAAGTATTTTATTAGAAATAAATGTTCAATTTTATTATATTTCTTAAACTTTTCGTAATCAACTTAATTAAAAATTATTGCCTAATTAGTATTAGTTAATTTCAATTGACGCTCTTTTTCAAGATTAGTCAATTCTATTACACGAATTTTAGCTTTGTGTTTCCTTAAAATAAGTTCATGCTCTTTAAGAGCTAAATCCTTCTCCCAATATTCAAGTTCATTAAATCTTGATATCAACTTATTCTCTTTACCATCATCTTCATTTTCAACCTCAGTATCAGAATCAATTACAATAGTTTTTCTACTTCTTTTCTTATTACCGGATTGCACATTTTGTTTATGCTTTACAGACATTGACTTTTATTTCAAAGTATTTGATTTCTTAATTTGTATAAGAGCTAATGCATAAATAAATCAAATAATATAATTAGAATTTAATATTAATTAATTTAAATATATTTTAGTGTATTATAATATTACCTTTATGTTTATTTGATTGTATATTTCACGCGATAGGACCTTTATCACATCTACGATTAGGCACATTATATTTTTATGATTATAAATGGCTGTAAATCTTTTTTTATCTAATTTTTGCCCTCTATAATAATAAATAATAAATATTAACTAGGGAACAAAATCTGTTCAAAGTTCGAAGCATGGTATGGTATATAAATTATAATATCATATTTCACATGATTAATTATTTTGTAACACAAAAAATATAACATGTGATAATGTAAACAAAATATCATTGGTTATCAGGCTTGCCAAATTTGGATGGACAGAATGACCTTGCATTTGAATGTCATAATAGTAAAGTGTCCTCCGCTATGCTTCGGACAATAATAATTTTCTAAATCAAATAAAATCCATTATAATATAAATATATTTATATTAATACATACTGAATAATAGCAGTTACTAATTTAAGACCCTTTCCATAACGATTACTTAATACATGTGCTACTTTTGCAACATTGGTATTATTAGGTGAAATTATCCATATTGTTAACATGCGATTTTGGTGGATCACTACAGTTAAACAAGGTGTTCAAAAGTTGTTTCTTTTTAATGTACATAGTAATCTACTGATTTATTCCCAAGTTCTGGATTTATAATTGGTTCTACTTAAACGTATTTAATTGTAACTCACTAAGACTAGTGTATTTCCAAAGATTCACAATGACTGTTGTTATCACGAAGGCCTAAATGTTACCTTAATTTACACAATCACTCAGGTTTTATAAGATCACTCAGATGTATAATGTCACTCAGACAATGATATATAATATCACGCAGATGTATAAGATAATAAGATAGTTTATTGATAAATAATAAGAAGGAAAATAAGAAGTAAAGAAATAAAAGAAAAAGAAAATAAGAAA